GGAGAATCAGGGGGTAATGGGAGAGAGTGGAGAAAGTCATCTTCTTTGCATGTAGAATTCTCTTCTTTGTATGGGATTATGTCTTTAAAGAAGACGGAGAATTTGCTTACCCCATCACACAGGATTGCCTCCTCCCACCTCTTGCTCAACCATCTGTAGAGACAGAAGGCATTGTTCTTAAGACAGAAAATAATTGTCTAAGTGTAAGCGACCTTGAGAACCTTCCAGGGTGGAGAAAGATGGGGTAGAAATGTTGTAAATAAATGAATAAATAAATAAACCCTTCTCTAGATTTCCCTCCTAATCTCCTTACTCTCAATCACAGAAATTCTAAACCTACTATGTACTAGACCTTACTGTAGTTGGTAAAAAAGAGATGGGGACAAAGTTTAAAAGCTAGCAGAAGCACAATTTCAAAAGCCAAGATTAAGATGAAGGAGAAATTACAGGAAAAACAAAGTGGTGATATCTTGAAATTGTGGTATTCCTAATGATTAATTTATTTATTTTTTTAAAAAAAATTACCATGCCAGGATCATGAAGCAGGATTTTGGGAGCAAAATGACAATGTTTGATAGGAGAACACCCATTACCCCATGTCACTGAAGTGATTCAATATGGGCAAGTTTGACAGACCCCATCCCACATGTTTTCCCCCACTTTCTCTCATTTCCATGTGAATCATGACCTCAGAAGATGATATAGCCCTGTTTCTTGTTTCCCCCATTTCTAAATGGTTCAAAAACAGTTCCTTCATGAAGCATCACAGACAACAGGAGAAGGTTTGTTTGCGTTGTTTGATGAGCTCTGTGATGATTTTTCAGGGAACTGTTTTAGAGGTTTTTCAAAATGGGGGGGGGGAGAAATTGCGTAAAAGATGAAGTTCTTAGTCACAGAAAACAGTATGGCTAAGTATTTGCACCATAAATAAATAAATGTGTGGGTTCTTTGACAGTTAAAAATTTCACTGGAAGGTACTGAATGCATTGCATAAAAACTTTTTACCTTGATGGAGAATACTGTATGCTCATTCTTGGATGCAAGAATTTAATGAGTGAAGTTTTATTTATGCTACATGAAGAAATGAACTCTTCTGGTTCTTATACAATGAACTTTTTAAACTTTTCACCAACTGTTCTAGGCTCAAAGACATATCAAACATAAATGTAATTGTAAAAATCTTTTTACAGAAACGATATCTGTAAAGACATTTATAATTTTTATTTTAGCCTATTTATATATTTTTTCATATTTTCTTCAGTTCACAAGCAAAACAGGATTTATTGTAGAATGAATACATCCTCAAGTAGCACATGGATACTTTGGGAAGGGGATTCCTGTGTTTGGAGAAATTGGCCTTAATGGATGAAGATTCTGTTATCATGTTGCTTGGGGTGCCCTCTATATCCCTACATGTTTAAGTACAGCATAAGCTGCTGACTGTGTGGACAGTATGTAATAGAGGTGCCTGGACTCAGTGGAACAAGCATGCATATTCCAGGCAAATAATTGTCTTGCTTTAACTTTTCAGTGTTGAGATTTTTTGTTTTTGTAAAACACTGGGAAATTGATTATGCAAATAATGTATGGTTGTGGGTTTTTTTTAATGCCAAGCCAGTCTGCTTAAAAGATGAGTGATTGTATTCTTATTAAATGCAGTCCCAATTACTACATGATAGAATTCAGATAGTTAGGAACAATTTCAGAAATGTTTGTTCTTCAACTTTGAAGATATCTGTATAGCTTCAACAGTTGCTAGCCAAGGCACCATGCACTGTGCAATTACACATGGAGGACTGCACAAGGAGGACACTGAAAGATTTTCCCAACCAGAGTGTCTTGCTTGAATTTAACACCTGCACATGATACTGGCATTGTAGGAAGCAGTCCTGACAATTCAAAGTACTATGCTGGATTAGATTTGTGTACCATTCTTTTGATATTCCCTCACTATGGGGGAGGGAATATCAAATATCATTCATCAAATTCATTTATCAGAATCCTATAAGAGAAAAGTGTACATATGCTCTCTCTTATATCCCATACTCTTTTTTTTCACATAATTTACCCAGAAAATGTCAGCTGGCCAGCTGGCACCCTGTCCCCATCAGAAGGGAGAAAGGGCAGCTACGAGTATTGCCCACCACTCTTTTTCCCATCATCTGGGGAAAAGAGGAGAAAAGTGGGTAGCTTCCAACTACACTTTCCTAACTGTAGTGGTGGAGGAAGCGCTTTTTGGTGCTTCAGCCCTACTTTGGGAGGAATGTGGGCAGGTCTGCCATGTGACAGCGCATGGCAGACTCAATCCTTGCCGTGCAACAAAGTGGCAAAAAGTGATGAAAATGCCTTTTGTGAAGAGGCAGTATTATCAGTTCACTCACAAATTGCACTCCACAGAAGTGATTTAAGTCTCAGCGCAGCAGTTTCAGAAAAAGTTATGCAGTTTAATCTAAGAAACTCAGAAGTATTGTGGACCCCTATCTGTGTAGTTTTCTCAAGAAAAGCTTGGGTACAAACTGTCAGAGGTGCTTTAGGTGAACATTATTTTATTTCAAGGCAAGCAATTGAATTAAATTTCCAATATAGCCCCTTTCAAGTTCCAATAAAGCATATTTATAATGGCAGATACCTCTTTTGGCCCCTTTCCACTTAGGCACTCTCTATTTTTTTGTTTTTTGCTTAAAAACCAAGTAATAGCATAGACTCTGATACTTTCAATTCTGCTCTTCCTATGTGCTCTTGCTTCACTTGTAATTTCTCAACTGTTTCCTTCTTTTTTTAAAGTAATTAACTAGCTGATTTTCCTTATCACAATGCCAACTTTCACTGCAATTGAAATGTTTCAGTTGATTACATGATGCTGGGGCTACAAAATAAACACCTAATAGAAACATGGCAAATAAATAAGAACCAGGGCTCACTGTTCAACCGATGCTATGGGGATGAATTTGATGGCTTTTAAATCACTGCATTTTGTGCTGATCAGACTTAGAGATAAAGTGACAGAAAATAATAGTTCAGAGCCAATTTTATGCTGACAGTAGATTGTGCAAACAAAACAGAACAAAACAATCCAATAAGGGAATTTAATTTGGAAACTGGGCTTGATTCCTGGGAGATGAAATGGAGTGCGATCATTTTCTAAGAGCTGGATTAATATTAAAGTGTTTTACTATCATATTATCTAATGTTATACATAAAGTTTTATGTCCACCAGCTTAGCATTTTAAAGATCTCTAATACTGTGACAATAAAATTGAGTGCTGCAGCTAATTTTATATTCCATAATAAAAAAATAAATCTGTGCTGGGAAATCAGTCATCTTTTAAGCTCTTAATAAAAGGGGGAAATGCCTAAACCTGAATGGTATTTGGTTTTATGGGAGATGGTTGATTATAATATTTAAGCTGAATATTGATTCATACTTGAACTTGCTTTATTTTATTAATCTTTTTCAGATTCTGCTAGTGAGAAAACTATTTGGGAGTTTAAAATGTTTCTAAATAGTTTCATTAAAAAGTCATCCTTAATTATGAATAATTGTTGACTATTTTGGAACCATGTTTTAATACTGACTAATTATATTGGCCTAGATCCAGAGGTGCCGGCAGATACAAGGGGGTTTTTCTCTACTCTAAAACAGATTTTGAAATAATAAGGCTAAAGACAAAAATCTGTTTTAGGGTAGAGAAAAACTTTACAGGGGAAATTTTGATATGCTAGGGAGAGCTAGAGAAGAAATGGGAGCAACGAGAAAGCCTCTTTGTGACAACAGAAATATACTGTATTTAGTTGCCCTTAGTCCTCACGGGGAGATGGGGCAGGATATAAATAAAGTCTGAATGATGGATTAATTGATTTACCCAAGTCTAATGTGCCATCAAATCTAACACACATCTCACTTTTCAAAACCCTGAAATCCAAAAAATGCATTTTCCATATTATGTGAATCTAATGTGCACCCTAATTTTGGGAAGGTAATTTAGTCCAAGAAAGTGAGCATTAGAACTGAATAAATACAGTAGAAGTTCAAATGTGGGTTCTGGACCATAATTACAATTTGATTGCTGAAAGTAAATTCATTTCGGTTGCTGTGAGTTTTCCAGGCTGTATAGTCATATTCCAGAAGCTTTCTCTCCTGATGTTTCACCCATTTCTATGGCAGGCATCCTCAGAAGTTCTGAGGATGCCTGCCATAGATGTGGGTGAAATGTCAGGAGAGAATGTTTCTGGAAAATGGCCATAGCGCCTGGAAAACTCACAGCAACCCAGTGATTCCAGCCATGAAAGCCTTCGACAATACATTAAATTCACTTCCTTCAATTCTAACATATTGTCAAGTCTCAAATGATGAGCATACGTATCTGAGCTTGACCAAATTCAGGTGAGAAACAAATTGAGAACCGTGGGGATATATCTTTTGATCTAATTGAAATAATTTTGTTTCATGTCAGGAGTGACTTGAGAAACTGCAAGTCGATTCTGGTGTGAGAGAATTGGCCAGCTGCAAGGACGTTACCCAGGGGATGCCCGGATGTTTTGATGTTTACCATCCTTGAGGGAGGCTTCTCTTGGGAGCTGGAGCTAACAGAGGGAGCTCATCCATGCTCTCCCCAGATTCGAACCTCTAACCTGTCGATCTTCAGTCCTGCCAGCACAAGGGTTTAACCCATTGCACCACTGGGTGCTCCTAATTGAAAGAATGAAAATTTTAGTCAAAGTGTTCACAAAGCCTTCTTTATCAGATGCTGCTGGTGAAGTAGATGTGAGTCTATAAAAGCTTATCCTACCAGCTTCTTTCAGTTATTCACAAGAGTACTACAAGATTCCTTTGCAGATAATCAAGACAAATACAACTATGTTTTTAAATTATATGGGGAAAATATTGTTATGCTTAAACCTAATCTAGATGCACCCAGAATTTCCTGGTGAAAAACAGTGCATTTTTTATCTCTCTCCAATGTTCTTTTCAGCTTCCCCCCCCCCCCCCCCCCCCCCCCCGCTTCCTAGAGTCAGTTGTAAAATGTACTGAATGCCATGCAACTACATTTATGGTACACAGACATAATATAGTTTACAGTTTTGCATGTTGCATTGTTGTCAAAAGATATTTAAATATTTGCAAAGCTTGAACTGTGGAGAATATTTACATATAATATTTCTGGTTTTCCAAGGTTGTATTCTACATTTTCTTTTCTCAATAGTCTACTCATATCAGTCATCTGTTTCCAGTATTCTGAAAGATCAGCATTTTAGAAGGAACATCTTTTTTTCAGCATGCATGCATATTGTGAAGGGAAATAATTACAACTTCCTCATCACAACACCTATCCTTCTAATGACAGTAAATAACCACTTATTCCAGCATAATACACATAAGTTGAAACATTACTATTACATTTCTGGCAAATGAAGATAATTAATTTTGTTTAAATAATACATTTTGATATGATTTGCACTCAGTTTAAAATTGTATCAACTTAACTGTGTTCTGCTTTTCCACTTTCATACAATAAGAGCTATCCTCTGATAAGTCTTGGAATGTTTCCATATTGTGACCATCAGTTCATTCTAAACCCCCCATTTTTGGGGGGCAGAATCATGAATGGTTCCTGCTCTCTTGAAGTGGGTGTCCAGTTCAAGTAGGAAGTACTCATTTTCATCTGAATCAGGGGAACTTGATCCTAGTGTGCTTAGAGACCCAGCTACTGACCCAATTCCTTCAAAAGCATAAATCTGAAGGGAATCAAAAGGGGGAACATCTGGGTCAGAGTTAGCTTCTTCTAGTTTCTGAGCAATGAATTCCCGGAATATAGCACTCTCAGGGCCAACTTGTAGTGACTGTCTGTAAAGGCTTTGGATCTGTGTTGTGATATTTCTCCGAGGTTTATGTTCTCTCAAGACAGGTTGGGTCCTTAGTGCTGAAATATCAAAAGCCTCAGTGTCTTGCTCTCCACCCCCTTCATCATCATACTTAACAATGTTCTCTCTGAATGGTTCTCCTTTCTTGGGAAACAGAGATGGCTTTGTCTGCTGTTTCAAGGCCACAATTGCTAGAACAAAGACTGGTGAAAAAAAATGAAAAGGGAAAATATTAGTAAGTATTACAGAACTTCAGAAAAGATAAAAGTCATTGACTCTGAGTCTTGAAACCTATATTCATGTAGGGTAGGCATGGGCAAACTCCAGCCTTGTACGTGTTTTGAATTTCAACTCCCAGAGATCTCACCCAGCTTTCTGGCTATTAGAAATTATGGGAGTCCAAAACACCCTGGATGACTGAAGTTTGACCATGTCTGATGCAGGGCTTAAATGGGTGGAGCTATGTCAGTCTCAGCAGTGTCTAAAATATGCTATGTGAGCAGATGTCTGTGTGCAAATGGGTTTGTCGATACTACGCAATTATATAACCATTGTGGCTCTATCCTACAGAATATTAGGATCAGAATTAGGTGAGGTACTTAAAATTCCCTGATAAAACCTTCAGTAAATGTCCTGATCTAAAACATTAGAGATCTTTAGCATTGAATAATCATATTTTGTGAAGCTACAGATCACATGATCCTTCATGATGGAGCCATGAGAGTTATCAAAATGTGTATTACATTAAAGACATCAAAAGTAGTGTCAAAGTAGTGTCAAATGTGGTGATGAGGTATACAGACAGGCTCTTGTTCGTATATGGAGACGTATATGGAGTATTCATACAATGATGGCTTCAGTTAAGATATCAGTTAGTAGACTTATGTATCTATTATATATTACTACCGCCCTGCATCCCTGCTAACTAACTAGTTTAATACAACAGGCTAGATCCAAATATCTACCAACTGATTAATGTTAATGTTGACTATGCTTCTGACCGTCTTCTGTCACAGATATCTAGATTTTGTCCATTATGTTGCAGTCAGTCAATTCACAAAAGCTTTTACCAATCAACAAAATGACAGTGCTACATAATGCATAAAAGGAAAGGGACAAACATTTCTTACCGAATATTATTAGTATGCAAGCCACAACAGCAACCAAAGCTTGCACACTAATACCCATTGAAAAAAGAATAGTTCCAAATCTGCATGATTGAACATTAACTCTTTCATCGCACTCACACACAGTGACAGTTAGAGTATTGGTGCTCGTAAGAGGCGGAGTCCCATTGTCAGCAACTAGAATTAACAAGGGGAAAAGTAGTTGTTCTCGATGATGGAACTCATTTCTAGTGGTAACAATTCTGGCCGTGTTATCTAAAACAAAAACAAAAAAACAAGGCACATCAAGTCCAACAAAACCAAATATTTCATATTCCTTTGGAGAGTATTATCTTATTTACAATGAGAAAGATTCCAATAAAATATTGGCAAATAAAAGCCATATGAATGAGAACATTGAGTTTGGATTACTATATAACAGGTGATATGTTTTATCACCGAGGTGGTTAGGGTCTGCATATTGTTTTTGTCACTCCAAGCAAAAGGAAGATACATTTGCTATCTTGTAAGCCTCCATAAGAGCATGAGAACAGGATTACTTTGAGTATCAGTTCCCTCTAAGCAGTGTCCTTAAAAAGTAACACTTCTTTTTTCAAAACCATAACTGGATCTCTGTTCACTTGCACAGCCCCTACATTTTAAAGTATGTTTTTTTAAAAAAAAAAATCTGTGTAGTGCCCATATAAGATTCCATACTTGAAAAGGATGGATCTGGGGCTCTCTAAATTGAAATGAAGTAACACCTTATTCAGAATACATTACAGTCAACTTTCCAAAAGTTAGCTGTATTGATTTATTCACCTAGCCAGAACATTCATATAATTAGTAAAGTCAATATGAGCAATGTATACTTTAGTTGAATTTGAAATAGCTCTTCTTCTAAGTCTCAGAAGGCTGCCTTTAAGTGGTCTTCTTTCCTGCAATTTCATCAGCTCTTGAACTTAGGTTTTCCCTTCAGATTACTTTCGATTGTGTCCCCCAATACGATTCTTTCTCAGCCTTTGGGATCAATACAAATGCTGCATAACACTGCAGCACTGAAAAGTCATTCATATGATGTCATCAGTATATTGATGGAAACAATGCAATGGAGAACAAGAAACAAAGTTAGGTAATTGCGAACTGTTCCTTTGTCTTTACCTTGTTTAACTGGAACTAAATGAAAATACAAGCATTTATAAGATTTAAAGGTTTTATAACATGTGTTTAAATTAGTATTGCTGCAACCTGATATATGTACAAAACATGTACTAAGAGATCAAATGAGATTTGTCTTAAGTATTTTAATTATATTTTCAGAGTGCCACCACAGCAGATCTCAATAAGAAATTTTAAAATGAGAATCTGTCAAAGTATAAGGATGTATACCCAACTATGTCTGTCAAAACCAGTTTTGCATTTCCAACAAGAGCCACCATATGTGGAGGTGTTACATGAAAATGGAGCAAAAGTAGTTTGTTCGGAAAGTTGTTTGAAAATGTGTGCACTACCATCGATAAGTTTTTTTTCTTGTGCCACTGAGGCACCAATAAGTCTTATTCTCAATTCCATTTCTTTTGGGTTTTTCAGTATTCTACCAGTCTTCATGTTGTGTTCTGTTTCAGTATGGAGTTGTAACACTCTTTTCTCCTATGGGTGGAAATTTCTACATATATGCTCCCCCCCCCTTTTCCTAAAATGCATACATTTTTTCTAATGTATTCATTTTGTATGTGTTCTTGCATTGAGTAAAGTTAATTCTACAAGTATATGCATTTTCATTTGTGCACATCTTTCAAATGTATGCATGCATTTGGGGACTTTTCTCCTCTCTCAAGTGTATAGACAATCTCACAAATGTATGCTCTTTTGAGGTAAGAAGCATTTCATTCAATGGACAGTGTTAGGAGCTACAGAATAGTTTTCTTTCCCTATACAAACACAGAAGTCCTATGATTTCTCCATCTTTGGAATCCATAGACGGACACATAAACTGAAACTCAGCAGCTGGTCTGAGGCTGGATCTACACTACTTATATCCCAGGATCTGATCCCAGGTGATTTGTTTCAAACTGGATTATATGACTCTACATTGTCAGATAATCTGGGATAAGAAGATAATCTGGGATCAGATCCTGGGATAGAGGCTAATGTAGATACAGCCCATGTGAAGTCAATTTGATTCTAAGCAGTTAAGAAAGTAATGGGAAACTGTAGTGCTCCTGATGCTTTTGGACTCCTAATATCTTAATCCATTACCTTTGCCTATGTCAGCTAACATTCAAAGATTTTTTAAGCCATGTCAAAAGCATCATAGCTGGCCATCCCTGTCTTAGGGCTTTATGGTTAGCATAAGAAGTATTCTTTATGTCTTCGGGGCCTATTCATGCCACACAGTTAAAACACTGTGGTTCCACTTCAACTGGTTCTGTAATTCTGAAATTTTAATTTAAGAAGGGTTTCTTAGAATTATAAGAAAACTATAACATTTCATAAAACTACAAACTGCAGACTGTTGCAATGACAGCTAAACTAATATTAGTGATGGGAATGGGTCTTGGACACCTTATTAGGAATATAATAGAAACAGGGGAAGGGTGGTGTTTCATACTAGGTGAAATTAGAATTAGACATTCTAAATTCAGAACTTTTCCTATTGAGTGAATCACACTGGTTTTTGGATTTCTTACTTAGTCTCTTCAAACCAACATTTCTCAACCTGGGGGTTGGGACACCTGGGGGGTGTCAAAGGGGTCTTTTCCCCAAAGCTCCACCAGTGTTCACATTTGGGCATGTTGAGTATCCATGCCAAGTTTGGTCCAGATCCATCATTGTTTAAGCCCATAGTGCTCTCTGGAGGTAGGTGAACTACTACAGGGTGAGGCCGCATAACTTTGTTTTTAAAAATGCGGCCATTCAGTTGGTTGAAGACGTAGCGGAGCGCAAGAGGCAGGAGTATAAAGTTTTGTCCTGACACAGCTCAGTCGCCATCATGCATTGGAGCAGTGAGGAACGTGCTTTTGCCGTTGAGGCCTACTTTTCAAACGGATTTGGAGTGGCCAGCCCGCTCTCCAGATTTGGCCCCTTGTGATTTTTTTCTATGGGGTTTTTGAAATACTATGTTTACGTGAACTGTCCAAGGACCCTACAAGATTTGAAGACCAACATCCAGGAAGAAATTTCCAACATAACGCCTGCTATGCTGGCAAGAGTCATGACAAACGCCAGAAATTGGTTTACTCAGTGTATGGAGAATGGGGGTCATCACATAACTAATTTGATCTTCAAAACTACGCAAAACAAAACTTTAGGTATGCCCCAACATTATAAAACAAATAAAAATATCTGATTCATGCAATGGGTTTTATTAAGTTTTGAAAAAAGGAAGTTATGCTGCCTCACCCTGTACTACAAAACTCAAGGTCAATGCCCACCAAACCCTTCCAGTATTTTCTGTTGGTCATGGGAGTTCTGTGTGCCAAGCTTGGTTCAGTTCCATTGTTGGTGGAGTTCAGAATGCACTTTGATTTTAGGTGAACTATAAATCCCAGCAACTACAACTCCTAAAATACAAAATCAATACCCCTCCCCCCCCCACACACACACACATCAAACCCCACCAGTATTCAAATTTGGGCATATCAGATATTTATGCCAAATTTGGTCCAGTGAATGAAAATATATCCTACATAGCAGATATTGACATTGCAATTCCTAACAGTAGCAAAATTACTGTTATGAAATAGCAATGGAAATAATGTTATGGTTGGGGATCACCACAACATGAGGAACTGTATTAAGGGGTTGTGACATTAGGAAGGTTGAGAACCACTGCTTTAAACAAATGACTCCAAACAGATAGTGGGACTCTAACAATTAAACAAACAAAGTGACTACTTATCCTTAAAACAATATTTCAAGTTATGCCTGTGACACCTACTTTGATTATCTTCAATTGCAAAACCCGATACATTTGTTGCCTCCTCAGTCAAATAGAAGAAAAAATTGTGGCCTTCCATGGGATCATCTCTATCTACTGCACTGATGGTCTGAATGAACTAGGAATAAACATTGAAAAACAAAACCAAATGCTGTTATGGCTGCTTTTTAAAACAATTCACAACAATTACATGAATTTCATTCTATTCAATTAACATGGTTACAATTTCCCCCTCTGTCTTTGAAGAGCAGGAAATGTATTAGCTACAAACACACATCACTTAACACAATCCTGTCGGGCTTGTTGATTTTCTAATGTCATACAATTATGCCACTTGATTTTGTATTGATTGGAAGGAGATAAGCACTAGAGTGTTAGGCTAATGCAAATGTCTTCTGAAATTGAGATGCAAAGGTTAAATAAAGTTTCCATAAGCTAAAGAAAGTATAAAGTATTCTGCCCTTCCTTTATTTCCCAAGGTGAAAAGTATATCATTCTATATTTGAACACATCCTTCAATACAAAAACCTATTTCCTTCCAGTCCACAAACATCATAGGCATCACTCAAGTGATGTATTATAGTTGTCGTGACCGCAAGATTGTGACAAGTTCATGTGCTGAATTGTTGATTCTTTGAGATTGTAACAGATTGATTATAGGAACACTTGCCTTTGTTTTCAAAGAAAGGAAATAGCCCACATTTCCAAACATATCGAATCAAATTGTCATTTGTAAGAGAGAGAAGTCCAAATTAGCATCTTTGTATTCAAAAATCATAGAGCTCATCATCATGAAAGAACAAGACATGTTGCTGTTTTTTTAATGAGCAGTTGTTCTACTCACAAAGAGTAAATATTTGTTATCATTATCATTTTGGTGCTATTTGGTAAATCATATGTTATCAGGGACAACATTCTTTAACTTGCTATTTTAGTTCAGCATTATCTTGCCATTTCAATGCACCACCAATCATTTCTTTCATTAGGACAAGTCTTTCAAGATACACTTTAATGGCTAATTAGCTGGAGTTTAAACAGCCGTTTTTGGCAAGTACAGGGTCACTGGTGATTGTAGCATTGCAGCAGTTCAGTCTGGTGATGCTGTAGGTTAATAGAGCTCATAAAGCTATACATTTTTTTAAAAAAAATCTGATGATATTACTTTATCATCTGCTGCTTTGAGATGGAGAAGTTTCTGGATTTACTAGCCACAAATAACTGTGGTGGATGTATGACATCCCTGAGTTATTGAACTAGTCTAATAGGCTTGGAACAGTTGTCCCTCTAACTCAGGTTTTCTACTGCATATTGTCAGGTGCCTCTTTAAAGGGCAGTTGCTGACACCAGCTTAATGCCACATCAGATACGGCTCCATGCTGTCAGAACACAATCACAGAAAGGTTAGGTAGGCTGGCATCAATACAGCCTCACAGTATTCCCTTACTTCTGTAAGCAACAATAGTATATAGTGGTGGTGGTAAAACATAGCTTTCGTCTATTTTTTGCTTTTTCTACAGAAAGGAAATAGTATTGATAAACTCACAGTGCTATAAGGAGTAATCATACTCTGTTTGCAGTTTGTAAAGAACTGGCGAGGTTACGAATTGTCATCAATTTGTGACTTGATCAAAACTGCAAAACATTTGTTCCTCTACCATAAATGTGATGCAAAGTGTTTGAGATTTAAACTAGTAGTATTAAACTTTATTGCGGTCAATGACCAGATCATAGCAGGGGAACCCAGTCTTGCACATCCATATCAAACCCAAGGGGTTATATACTTCAAACATCAACAAATTTTAAAATCTAAGCTAAAAACCACATACAAGTAGTTATTAAAACCCAACTCAACTCACAAGATCATCCAAATGCAGTCTAAAGAGAGGTAGTGGGGATGTCACCGGGGAGGGGGAAGATTTAAACTAAATAAATAGTTCTGAGGGTTTTTTTCCAAAATGTGAAGAGAAAGAAAAAAATGATAAACTTGCTCATCCAATCAGAAAGTTTTGAGGAAGGTTGTGTAATAATTTCAACATAATCTTGAATGGAACCAGTACTATTCAGTCAAATTTTGATCTGGGACAAGATCAGGAAACTTCTTAAACTTCTGCACAAACAGATCTATCATCCCTCAAACTCAAGCTCTAACTGTGGCAGTCATCTCATTCCAATTTTCTGAACAGTGAATAGGAGGGGAACAGCATCAAAGTGTGTGGCTATGTTTCTATAAGATGCAAAATGATGAGGCACCCTCATGGATTTCCTGTGGGGTCCTTCACTGGTGGAGGAAGATGAATGAAATTCCGTGCATTCAGCTATATCAGGGCTGGCAAAGTGTATTCCACAGGCTGCATGTGATTGGTGGGGCTCACTTTTGCAACCTCTGGAGCTCTCTGCCAGTTCCTAAATCTTCCCAATCTATTCATATTTTAGAAAAACACCTGCCACCATTTTCAGGGAACTAAAATCTTGCAGCTCCTTTCCCAAACACATGAAAACATGGAAAACATCCTTCCCCATGCCCCACAAGAAGGCCAGGCCACCAAACAACAACCAGTCTTAATATGGCACTAGTAAGAACTATGACTTTAACATTTTGCAGAAAAAAAAGCTCCACTTCCCATTGTAATACATTACAAAATAGGAATCGAAAGTGAAAAATGACCTTCTTTGTAAACATTTTGACAGTTGCTGCAGAAGAAAGTTAATATATTTGGTCTTGTTTGTATATGCGTATGTATCTTATGTGGTTGTAAGATGGTAAGAACTGTTTGAAAGAGGAATACTTCTATGATGCATAATAAAAATTAAAGTAAATAACATGCTGAATCTGATTCCAACAAGGTAACTAAAGTGGCAACTCCTAAAACAGCCCTGCACATTCTTAAAAGTCAAGCCTGGAGTCCTTGTGCACTGAACCACACTTGGGATATGAAATAGACTAACCATTTCTGGCAGTGGTACCATATGGGTAGAGATGGATAACAGTAGAATTTGGCTGAGGCACTTAAGGTTTTGAGAATTCAAAATCATTTTCATTTTTCTTTATAAAAAAGACTGGAAATGTCTACCTTCTGAAGATACTGAGGAAGCTGACTACATGAAATTTAAATTTCAGGCATGAGAGCCCTTGAGCAGTAAATCCTATTTCTCCTTATTCCCAAATTTCCAGTTCACTAGTAAAATTTCTTATGATTAGTTTAGACACTGTTTGGGGCATTTCTTTTATTTTTGAATTCAGTGTTTACTGATTGTGCTAAAGTTTGATCGCTTGTAGTAATGTTATGAAGACTCATTAACAGTATAATAATTTGTAAGGTAGTGGTGAAGACTACTTACTGAGGAACTTATAATAACTTTCATCAAAAATGTATAGAGACTGGGGGAGGCTATTCCTTCAAAGTGAAAAACCAGTTATGGGATTTTCTTCTTGGAGGACATTTTAGCATCACCAGCCTGCTATATTATGCATTTTGACTTGGCAAAGAGGGATAGAAAGATGATCCAAAACATTTCCTCAGGTTGGCCAATCCTCCTGACATCTCATATTTCACATATAAAGTAGCCCAGCTGTGTCTACAAGAAAATCCTGACACTTTGCTAATCCAAAGCAAAGACAGAGGTCATAGAAATGTTCTTAGGGAAGCTTATATTGAAATGGACCATTGGTTCATAATAATAATAATAATAATAATAATAATAATAATAATAATAATACAGTGTGTTTCAGGAGGTGATTACCTCTTCCTATTCAACTCATCATGTAAGATGCTTCAATCATTTCTTCTCCTTTCCCCACTGCAAACATCTGCTCTGGTAACTTCTGGTTTTATCTCTCCCTCCCTCACCTCCACTTTTCTCAGCACTGAGCTAAAGAAGATAGAAAAACAGCAGCTGCCATAAGAAACAAGTTCCAAACTGGGGAAAGCAGCTCCACACTTTGGCAACAGAAATTAATTCTCTGTCTCCTTCTGCCTTTTCGAGGGTCAGTTCTGACAATTTGTCAGTTATTGACTTTCACAACAACAACTTGAGCTCATGTGAATTGCCTCCTAGCTGGGAATGGATAAATCTGCCTGATTTTCTTTCTGTGATTCACTTTTCTTAAAGCACTAGTTTGTTTCGCGTGAGCTCTGTGACATTTAAGCTGGATACTTTTTTTTAAAAAAAAAGCCTGCAAAAAAAGGGGTGGGGGGTGGTGGAGAGAATCACATGCATTTTCATGTCTGTAAAAACCTATATTCATTTGTACAAAAATAGAAATATATGCACATTTCCATCCAGTAATAAAAAAAAAGTCATGCAAACTGAAATGAAGGCAGGATGGGATGGATATGTGGGAACCATGTATAGTAATATAAATTGATTTCTTCTGAATGCTGAATGTATAGGTAAAGGGAATTTTTGTACACAATCTTCCATAGTGCAAATATGTATGCAAAATTTTCCCCCCAATATATACTTGTTAATGTCACCCCCATAAGCAATTCATTCTGTTGCACATGATATTTGTAGAACTATGACAACTGAAGACAATGGCCTTCTGGTCCACTTCTTTGCTCTGAAAATGTGAATTGGATGTCTTCACATTAAAACGTGAAACAATTAAATGTCCTATGCCTATCTCTTTAATCAGTAGTATTATACAAAAATAGACAAAGAGAATTTATATTTTCATTTCCTGCACTCAGTACTGATCACATCTGTAACAAACATACACACTAATTGTCACTGTTTCACTGGAATCAATCATCTGATGCTACTGATTTCATACAATGGTTATGGGTTTCTCTAACAAAATGATGGAAGCATGTATTATTATCTTACTAACAATTAGATGAATAATGAATTCATAAATATTAGGCTGGGCTTACGGATGCAAAAAATACTATTAAAAGGACATAATATAGGTATGCCATCATATGACTGCATGTTTAAGTAAGGCTTCAGCATATTATTATGTTGGTTGCCCTTAAAATGAGCTTCCTCTTGTCTGGTTTTCAGCATAATCACAATACAATAAGGAAGGATTGCTAAAGTAATATGTGGAGCAGATTTTACAGAGATATTCAAGCAAACCTAAGGAAACTTTTTATAAGAGGAAAATTGCAATGTCTA